AGAACTTGCACAATTGGTGGCTGACTAAATACTTTTTTGCCCCACTGTAAAAATAGCTTATGCAGCTAGAAAGGAATCTTGTGGTTATCTTGACATTGAAGACTTAAATATCAAGGAATCAAGTTTTATTCCATATATGTAGGTTTGCAGCCATGAATTTAGATAAATCTTTAACAAATCTCAGCTGCTTAACCTAGTTGAAAGCCTTCCCACTTCCTCTGACAGACATGTTTTTTAGATGAGATTAGAATATGTGGATTTATGTAAGATTTTTTAAAATAATGTTTTTGATATATTGCTTTGATTATGATAGTAAAGTCTAATACAAACTAAAAGAAAGAAAAGATAATAGAAAGGAGTAAAAAGTGCAAAAGAAAAAAGGAAAAAGAAAAAGGAAAGAGGAGAGAGAAAATTAAGAATATAATAAAGAAAGAGAAAAGAAATAAAGACATGACTTTCATCACAAGAAGTATAAATAAATTTAATGACTCTTCACCCCCCTAAGGTTACAAACACATCTCTTAATCTATATCCCATCTCTATAAACAAATGCATAAAACATCATCTTTTCAGTCCTGGTGTCAACAGAAAGTCCATAAAGGCTAGCCAGAAGTAACAACGTATCTTGTTTTAACCTTGATCAAATAAACCAACTTTATATTAAGTCCATAAAGGCTAGCCAGAAGTAACAACGTATCTTGTTTTAACCTTGATCAAATAAACCAACTTTATATTCCTTCCTTTTAACAGTCTTAACCTTTAGTTCATTCAAATATTGTCATAGGATTTGATTTGTCTTCATTTCTTCTTTGTACCATCGCACAGAGTTCTTCAAGGCTTTGACTCTTGCAAATCCAATAGGAAAAAATTATCCAGGTCACTCTCTTGATTCATTTGTATTTCCTTTTTAAATTTTAAAACTGCAGCCAATTTCGTTTGTAAATCTAGTGAAACATTATTTTCTAGGTCATTCTCTTGGCTTGTCAGTTGTAAATCTGCTTTCGATACATCTCTATTTTGTCAGATAAAATTTGCTCTACACTTGTCATTTCTTCAATAACGTATTTTGGACATAGTCTATCCATAGAAGCAGACATCATTACTGACATTGTTGATATTGTGGCTACTATTTTCTGCTTCCATTCTTCAAAAGTCTCCTTCAATATTTTCACTGTTATTATATTTTGCAACATTTTACAGGCTTATAAATCTTTCCTCTACCTACAAACTTTAGTCCCCTCTAGTGTCCAGTTTCTGAAATCATGAAGTTGCTTATCTTTGTTTTGTCTTGTAAAAACCAAAACAGAATTTATTTCCGACAAGAAGCTGTTTGTTCTTTCTAATTAATTCCAAAATCTTACTGTAAAAGTTTCAATATTCCTATTTTATCTGGACCCTTAGTCCATTTATAACTTTCTAAGATCAAAGTCTTGTTTAGCTTTTTGCTGTTTATTTCAGATTCTTTAAATTCTTAAGGTTATGATTAAAATTTTCTTTCATTCAGGACTGGAGGCACACTCACCTAGCATTTTCATACTTATTGTTCCAAAGGTCTCTAATAGCTTAGAAGTAGTTAATGAGCCATTTCCAAAAGTGATTAGAAAGTGAGTTATGCAACTTAGTGTCTGTTAAAAGTCTCCACCGAGGTTGCAAGCAAGATGGCTAATCCTGTCATCTCCTGGTACTCAGCCCACAGAAAGCTGCTGCTCTGTGGTCTGCTTGTGAGGAGCAGCTATCCAGAGTACATGTGTGCAATCTCCTGTCTTCTTATCCAGAGAAGTTCCAAGGGACCGGTGAACTCACTGGCTCCTTGGTCTGTTACACACGCTGCTCCCAGGTTCGGCTTATGGTCACTAACTCACACACTCACAGCCTGTTGAGGCACGC